TCCCTGTGCCATTCCACATTATTACAAATAACTTCATTTCTGGACATTTATGGTTTGATTTCTTTGTATGTATGGATCACTTGGGTTGTTACCGACATTTGGTGAAAATTTCACGTCATTAGCACCTCTAGTAATGTATTTACTGAGAAAAATGTTGACTGTTCAATACTTATTTTACCCGCTGTATATCACCGCTGTATATCACTCAACCACAATTAAATTCACTTTAAGAGGCACAATTTATATGGATAATATTTATTTTTACAGTAACAAGTTAGGATGAAAACAAGCAAAAATGAAATAAAAGTAACAACTTTTTACTTCTTGCCTTTTTTAAAAACATAAGTAGTAGAAAGTACAGATAATTGTGTGAAAATGGAAGGAGTACAAGAAAAAAGTAGGCTGAAAAATAATTACTCAAGTGAAGTACATATACCCAAAAATTCTACTTAAGTACAGTAAAGAAGTATTTGTACTTAGTTACTTTACAACTCTGCAAATTAAGGTATACACATCTGTATTCCTCATCTTCCTCTCTTCATTAGACTAAAGTGGTATCACTGGGTTCTTCTTGTGTGTAACTTTGACTCTTTAATTCAGTCTTTATAGCCTTGTTCCGTGAGTCACATACTGTTGAACTAGGAAAGCAGTTTGTAGTGATTCATTAGAATCAGAACAACCTTTGACTCCAGGTTAGTGTGTGAGAGAGTCTGATTAAAAACTGGTTACTAGGATTCAGAAGCCGGAGGCGCTCGCTGCAGCAAAGGTAAAGAATCAATTCTTTCCAATTGAGGTGTCACCACTGTGTGTGAGAAATTTTTTCTTTTGAAATTAATCAATGTTTATTTATTATTAAACAAAATTTTATCAGATTTTGTTTGTGTAAATTTTTAATTAAATTTTGTTCCAGTTTCTTATTTGTCAACATAAACATTGCAGTGTTTTAATTCTAAAAAATACCTACATATTTTATTTATTTTCTTAATTTTACTGAGTTCAGTTTATACACTTCTGTCCTGTGAGGCATCACAATCATCTGCTGTATTTAATGATCTGTATTAACCTCTTGAGCTAGAAAGCTTTTCCTGTTTTCTATTCCTTTTAACTTCTGTTAGCTTAAGATCTGTCAGTTAAACCTGGACATGTTTGGCATCAATAGAAACCTAAGAATCCTAGCTAAAAGCTCATGGAAACGATATTCACATCCACCAAACACAGTTCAAACGTCAAGCAGCTGAATCAGAAAGTAAACAAACTGTACAAAATGGCGTCATTGCAAATCTAAATACATTTAAGCAAATCTGTAAATAAATTCGATTGTTGACATTTTTAAAGCAAGTCAAAGCAGATACCACATGTTGTAAGGTGTGTTGAAAGTTTTTTCTTACTTGATTTTGAGTGAACATGGTCTATTATAATTTCTCATTATTTTATATAATATATACTGTATGATGATGAAAAAATGTTTGGATAACTTTTCAAAAGAAAAAACATTAAATAACAAGTCTCTTCAGGCAGCTAAGAAAAAATAAATAACTTTTGCAATTAAAAACTTGAGATTTCTTAACATTTATTAATGGTACTAACATGGTCTGTCCTGTGCAGAATGACAAAACACAAAAATTATTTCTTTACTAAAACCTCTGTAACTTTGCTCCAGTTAATTTTAGCAGCATGAATCTTTGCACAGGTGATGTTCACAAGTGGATTTATGTTTTCAAGAGTTGGAAATGGTGGATTCTGTGGCAACAGTGGGTTTATTATTATTATAGCAGGTGTGTAGAAGAATCTGGAAAGTTGCAGATGAACAGGGAGGTCGAAGCATCAAGACATCAGGGAGGAAAGCCTCAGAAGGATGGTGGACTTCTGACACAGGAGAGCTGACTTGTGGAGCCTCCTTTGGGCAAGTTATTGGTCCTTCTGTGAGTTAGTGTAACTGAAGAAAGGAACAGGCAGTAATAATTGGGTGACAAATCCAGGCAGAAAATCCAGGTAATATTGGCCATTTAACTATCCAACATCATAAAAACTTTTTCAATAATCATTTATAAGGCACATCAAACAGTCAACCCAACATTCAATATTTCTGGCAGGGGTCACGGTAATAAGGAGCAGAATCCAAATTACAGATTAAAGAGGAGGCAGGTCAATAAGATGAAGAACTGATTTAAAGAACTTTATGACATCATACTTGAAACGTGTTCACTTTACTTTGTTTTTACACAATGAGCATCATAAGATCGTCTTGACTGCATCAAAATGTATAGATTTATTACAAAATAATCTAATAATGTAACCAGAATGTCAGGAGGTAGGTTGTGTTGTCATGTTCAGCTTATTTGGTCAACGGAAAACACAAAGATAAACACAAGTGATATCTAAGAATGACTGTTGTTAGCAAATCTTGTTCTGACRTTAATCATTCTATCTGCAGATGAACAGCATGTCATGAAAACCTAGGTCATTAAAGGATGTCATGAATTGCTTGCTTAAACATAAAAGTATTAGTTCTATTACACTCCCCCATCTGGTCAATAAATCACCAATTAAATGATCAACAAAACAAAAAAACACTTTAATGTATTTTTAAAAAACATGTCAACATAAACCTAAGTATATGTACTTTTCTGAAATCCCAACCACAGTAATTCAATTTTTATTCCTCCCACAGTCATTTCTAATCCCCCAAAAAGTTATCACACATAAGTCTTTGGATCATCTTGAACACAAACAGGATTGTCTGTTTTGTTATATGGAAGGGTCAGAGTGGGTTGTGGGGCTTTGCGACTTTTTGTAGATCTTGGTTTAGTGCGAGGGGCTGGAAATGGAGGGTTATCGGGATCTGGGTGTGGTCTTTGTTTGATATTAATCTCGCCAGGTTCTTTCATGTTGTTAGTAAAATCCAGGAGGGGGCATTCCACTTGCTGTCTTGTTGGGATCTCAGAGTCCATGAGATCCTCTGTTTGTGATGCCGATGAATCCAGTTGTTCTTCCGGTTCTGCAGCTTGATGCAACTCCTCTCTCTCTGGTTCTGATTCTGAAGCAGTCTTCTTATCAGTAACTGGCACGCTGTGTTCCACTGATATCTCAGTTTTCTCCAGCTGTCCTTCAGACATCAGCTGTTGTGGTTTTTCCTGTTTGTTTCCAGCCAGAACTTTGTTCAGGAAATACTTCATGTTGGAAACCAGAAGCTGTACTCCAGTTTGATTCAGAGTCATTCCATCAGACCTGAAGAGATGTTTTCTTTCCAGGAAGAGGTCAAAGTTATCCACATATCTCACAGAGTGGTCAGCACAGGACTTTTCCAAAAAGCCATTAAGGGTAAACAGTCTGCTGAACCTCTCAGCCCCTCCTCGGGCTGTAGGAACAGGTCCACTGAGGAACACATCCATGTTAAGATTTTTAACTGCACTCAGCAGCAGAATAAAATCCTTCTTCAGGATTTCTGACTGTCGGTTCATAACTTCATCACTTCCTGTATGAATGATGAGTATCTTCAGAGTTGGATACTCAGCTGAGATTTCCAGAATCTTCTCTGCGAGGTCAGACACTTTATCAGCAAAACTCAGAACTTTGACTTTTTTCTTTTTCCAGAAGCCTCTGAGCTCATTCACCATTTTATCTGTGATGATCAGCATTTCTTGATTCTTGAAAGTCTCTCTTCGGACTTGCTTTGGTTTTGAGTTGGATCTGGTCTCAGGTCCCTCTCTGGGGTCAGAAGATGAACTTTGTTCAGGCTCAGTTTCTTCCAGTGGTGTGAATCTGTTTTGAAGAAACACTGCTTCATTTCTCTGGCTGTTATCAGTTATTTTGATTACAGCCTGTTGCTTTCTTCTCCTTTCTGGTGGAGAGAAAGCATTTCTCTGTAATTCTGGCCATTCATTGTCATCTAAGAGCTGAATCCTTCCTGASAGATTTTTTGGTCTGGCACAAAGAGAGTTCCATACAGTTTTACTCTCAGAAGCAGCTTCCATCTCCTCTCCATGTTGATCTCTCATCTCAGCCTTCTCACCCATWTTAACYCATGTTGAGTTCTCCAAAGCATTCATCTCTTCCAAACAATGAATCTTGAGCTCCAACACTGTCACCTTTTGGAGAAGCTGGCAGAAATCCTCTTTGGAAAAGTAAGGAGGCATTATGAAGCTTTTCTGTACTCACTCTCAGTAGATGATGTTTCAAAAATCTTCTCAGGTTCTTCAACAGCCAAAAATAAAAATTCAATGTTCTTTGGTTATTCAAGATCATCCATCGCAATCATCACCAGCATATCTCTGTTGTTAAAAACAATTTACCATAAAAAGGTTCTTTTCATCCAGCTGGAGTCACGGTCCTGAGCAGTCCAGTCCTTGCTCACTCATATCAGTCCACCTGCAATGTGGCCTTGGTCCGTCGATCTCCTAGTGGTCACTGCAGCAACGCCAAACTGTTATGACAATATTTATTTAACAAAGACAGAAGGATAGCAGGAAACACAGAGGACAACCTGGCCTGTCTCTGTGCCTCTGCTTCTCTCTGTCACTCCACTCCCCACTGTTCACTGTTGTCAGACCCTGTGTCTCGAGAGGCCTCATATATACATATATAGAGTGGGGAAAATAAGTATTTAGTCAGTCACCAATTGTGCAAGTTCTCCCACTTAAAAAGATGAGAGAGGCCTGTAATTGACATCATAGGTAGACCTCAACTATGAGAGACAAAATGTGAAAAAAAATTTGAGAAAATCATTTTGTCTGACTTTTAAAGAATTTTTTTGCAATTTTTTTGCAAATAATGGTGGAAAACAAAACAAAACAAAAC